TTTCCCGCGAAAGAAACATTATGCGGGCACGCTCGTGTATCAATAACCATACATATCCCCCCAAACAAATCGTGGCCAAAAACGGGAACAACTGCACACGCGCGCGTCGTCACGCGCGCGTGCCGTGTGTTCTCGCGTCGATGTAGAATGTTTCTATATCCAAAGCATTCGATGTCGTAGGTATTTCAATATCGAATGCTCCGGACACATAAACAACATGGTTTTGCTACATCAATTGTCATACAAAGATCAGCGCGCGGTCTCTAGCGAATGCGTCAAAATAATCATCTTGGCGAAGGGACCAACCATGTGCAGTTGTGGATACCGCAATTGTGCATATGTTTTTCGGTGAAGCTCCCTATGGGGCCACGAAGTGCTGCACTGGGTGGGGGGAACGCATGCGGGCGGTAGCACTGGGGCCGTCGGTGGAGCTCCCTACGGGGCCACGAAACGCTGTACTTGGTGGTGGGGCGCATGCGACGGTAACACCGGGGCCTTCGGTCGAGCTCCCTATGGGGCCGTGAAACGCTGTACTGGGTGGGGGTGGCGCATGCGGGCGGTAGCAGGGGGCCGTCGGTGGAGCTCCCTACGGGGCCACGAAACGTGGGACGCATGCGGGCGGTAGCGCTGGGGCCTTCGATGGAGCCCCCCATGGGGCCACGAGACGCACAACTGGGTGGGGCCGTCTGTGGAGTTCCCTTTGGGGCCACGAAGCGCTGTTCTGGGTGGGGGGACGCATGCGGGCGGTAGCACAGAGGCCTTCGGTGGAGCTCCTCATGGGGCCACGGAGCGCTTTTTCGGGTGGGGGGGATGCATGCGGGCGGTAGCACCGAAGCGTTCGGTGGAGCTCCTTATGGGGCCACGGAGCGCTGTTCCAGGTGGGGGGGATGCATGCGGGCGGTAGCGCTGGGGCCGTCGGTGTAGCTCCCTACGGGGCCACGAAACGCTGGGTGGGGGGGACGCATGCGGGCGGTAGCACGTGCAGCACAGGGGCCGTCGGCGGAAATCCATGTGGGGCCTCGAAACGCTGTACTGGGTGGGTGGGGGCGCCTGCGGGCAGTAGATCTGGATCCCTCGGTGGAAATCCGTATGGGGCCACGAAACGCTGTATTGGGTGGGGGGACGCATGCGGGCGGTAGCACAGAGGCCGTTGGTGGAGCCCCCCTTGGGGCCACGAGACGCGTGGTGGGTGTGCCAAAATGGTTGCGGGGGACGCACGCGGGCGGTGGCACTGGGGCCTTCGGTGGAGCTCCCAGTGGGACCACGAAACGTTTGAGGGGTGTGCCGAAATTGGTGTGGGGGACGCATGCGGGCGGACGCACAGGGGCCTTCGGTGGAGCGCGCGCGGACGGTGGCACTGGGGCCTTCGGTGGAGCTCCCTACATGGGGCCACGAAGCGCTGTACCGGGTGGGTGGAAATGCCATATTGGGTATCGGGACGCACGCGGACGGTCCCACTGGGGGTTTCGGTGGAGCTCCTTTTGGGGCCACGAAGCGCTTTACTAGGCGGGTGAAGCGCAGGGAGGATGGGGAGGAGGGGGGAGGGGAAGGAGGGAGGAGGGAGGGAGTAAGGAACGCGAGGCGCTGCCTCTTCAAAACGAGGACCCAACACCACAGGATGGCTGGGAGAAAAAAAACGCAGTGCACACTTGCACGTCGTCGCGCGCGCATGCCGAAACCCCAAACCACCTACGGTTTCGTAAGGTTGCCGAAAAATATGAACAACACAAGTAAATACACATGGTTTCGCAACATGAATTTTGAAAGACCCGCCAAAAATAACCGGACGAAAAACCCAACCATATGCAGATGCGAATACCGCAATTGTGCTGGGTGGTGGCGGACGCATGCGGGCGGTGCCAGTGGGACCTTCGGTGGAGCCGCGTTTATGGGGCCACGAAACGCTGTACTGTGTGGGCGAAACGCAAGGAGCAAAGGCAGGCTGTGCTCGGTGGAAGCGGACGCATGCGGGCGGTGCCAGTGGGACCTTCGGTGGAGCTCCTTTTGGGGCCGCGAAACGTTGTACTGGGTGGGTGAAACGCAAGGAGCAAGGGCTGTGCTGGGTGGTGGCGTACCCATGCAGGCGGTGCCACTGGGACCTTCGGTGGAGCTCCCTATGGGGCCACGAAGCGCTGTACTGGGTGAGCGAAACGCAGGGAGCAAAGGCAGTGCTGGGTGGTGGCGGACGCATGCGGGCGGTGCAAGTGGGACCTTCGGTGGAACTCCCTATGGGGCCACGGAGCGGTGTACTGGGTGGGTGAAGCGCAGGGAACACGGGCTGTGCTGGGTGGTGGCGGGCGCATGCGGGCGGTGCCACTGGGACCTCCGGCGGAGCTTCTTATGGGGCCACGAAGCGCTGTACTGGGTGGGCGAAGCGCAAGGAGCAAAGGCAGTGCTGGGTGGTGGCGGGCGCACGCGGGCGTTGCCAGTGGGACCTTCGGTGGAGCCCCCTTACGGGGCCACGAAGCGCTTTACTGGGTGGGTGGAACGCAAGGAGGAGGAAGGGAAGGAGGGAGAGGGAGGAGGAGGACAGGAGGAGGGAAGCGGGGACCGTCTCTTCAAAACGAGGACCCAACACCACAGGATGATTGGGAGTTGTTTGAAACCGTACAAAACGTGCGTTCGCCTTCCTGCATCTGCTCAAGCAGAAAAACACTTACGTTTCAAACAATAACGTGCGACCGAAATGGCCCTTCGCGCGCGCATGTCGGAATCGCTCGAACGCCATTGCACGCGCGTGTCGCAAACCCCTGTCAAAATTCGGATGAAGTGCGCACGCGCGCGTCGTCGCGCGCGCATGCCGAGATCGTTAAAAAACCTATCTGGTGTCGTGAATTCAGATTCGACTGGCCCGAAAACATTACCCCAAAAACGGTTTGGCAACATCCTGGTTTTGAAGATGCCTGCGTTCGCTCTCCTGCGACGTATGAAAAGAAAACAGGGTTCAAACCTTCCATCAAATTATACAAAACGGGTTTTTCCCGCCGCGCGTCGAAACCATTCGAACGCCCTTGCGCGCATGCCAGGGGTGGGCACGATCCGTGTCAAAGAATACCACGCGGGCCACTTCCGCGTGTCGGCCGCGCGCGCATGTCGAACTCCCCCCAAAACGTCCATCCCCGACGCGACGGCACGATCAAGGTCGGCGGCGTGATCTGCATCGGCGCTGTCAGTGGCATTGCCGTCGTCGTCGTCATCATCGTCACGACCACCGCTGCCATCATCACCTGCGTCTGCCGTTGTCGGTGTTGCCACGATACCGCGTCCGCCCAAGTCGCCGACTCGCACTGAAGTGCCCGGAGGTCAGCGCCACCGCGGCCGCGTCGGCGGCGCCACATTATCTGGCAGCTGTGCGCGCGAGCATACGCGGACCAACGCGGCCGCAAAGATGCTCCAGCCAACACCGAGCACTCAGCGCTATCGCCGCCGCATGAGCTTTACAAACCATTTTGCGGGTGGGTGTGTGGATAATTGCGCCAGCAGTGGCGTGGACACTGCCTGCGAATACTGATTTAATTGCACTTCGTAGATGGCGCCACGTATATGTCACCACATCAATTGCACAACGTAGACTGCACCACATCGATTGCACAACATAAGTCGGACCACCCATATTTACAAAGCTGATGGATCTACATAAACTGCGCCACCTGTACTGCGCCCAGTGTACGCGTACACACATTTATATATATATATTGTTTATGAATGTTTATATATACACACGTATATATATGTATGAGAGTGAGAGGGCTAGACGGTCATTCATTGTCCCTGGGTGCGTGGCTTGAAAGAGAATCCGCGACCCTGCCCGCGACGCACCCGCGACCCGGCCCGCGACCCACCCGCGACCCACCGTCGACCCACCTGCGACCCAACCCGTGACCTATCCACATTGTTTTAACAAAAAGAGTCGGCGCCTGCGGCGGGCTCGTTTTGTAGCTTGAAAAATTATGCGCCTGCGGCGGGCTTCTTCAGAGCCTCGCAGACTGCCGACGTACCCGCCGCCCCCTCACTCGTACCCGAAACTGCGGGGGGATACGGTATACAAATATACTGCGCCGAGAACGGACAATTCACTAATCGACGTGTCAGGGTAGGAGGTCTGTCCACCCCCGACCCCTCCCCTCTGCATCCCCCCCCCCGCAATGTTTTGGGGACGCGTAAGACTCGGGTTCCGGGGAGGCGGGTTGGTCTGACGGGGCCGTGAAGAATTGTCGAATTTCAGCCTGAAAGTTGACGCGAGCTCACGCTGCAGGCATCTCATGAAAACTGGACCGGCTGAGTTCAGGACTGGCCCAACCAAGAAACGTCGGCACGCCCGATCTCCCCGGCGAGCTGCAATCTTAACCCTGCAAGGTCTTGAGAACGTCCCCCCCAATAGAGGGTAACACATCATTTTTCAGGCGGCCTTATTGAAGGACTGGGGTTCTACCAAGAGGGGGGAAGTAATATTTGTTCCGCGCCACCCGCCACGCAACGACGGCGACGACGACGACGACAGCTACGACTACGATTGCGACTACGACCACGACTACTACCACGACTTCATGCCCCAGGAGCAGGAGAGGGAAAAGGAGGAGGGGGAGGAGGAGGAGGGGGGAAGAGGGGGGAGGATGAGGAGGAAGAGGTTCTAGGACCAGTCCCGTAGGCACCGCCGAAAGAGAAGGGGGGGTCACCGCGTGGGTCTACGGACATTCTACGTATGAGTATATGGTTCGTAGATTCGACGTCAATTTTCAAGTGTGGGGTAGATCAATTATGTAGTCATTCTCCGACTCGAACTCTTGCGGAACGCCCGACAGCTACGCCTACGATTGCGCGGAGGAGGAGGAGGAGGAGGAAGAGGAAGGAAAAGGAGGAGAGAGGAGGAGAAGGTTTTAGGACCAGTCCTGTGAACCGCCGAGATAAAAAGGGGGGGGATCAAACCTAAAGACCTCTAGCGGCTCGTGCGGCACGCCCGACCTCCCTGCGGGCCTCCGACCACGATCCCTCTGGGCAGCGGGCCCCGGAGGAAGCCGCGGGCCCGGAGCTCCGCTGCGCCACGGAGGACAGCGCCCGCAGCTTCGAGCCCGCCTCCTCGCGACGGCGCTCTCTCTCAGATCTGCCTTTTTTGCTGTGTTTGTTGTCTTGTTTGTTAGTTTGAGCTTTTTCTTTGTAATGGGGAAGAGCGTTTTCTTGTTCGGCTCTTCGACGTTGGGCGAAAGGTGGGGGGAGAGGAGGGGGGGGGTCTGGCTCCGGACCAAAGCTTCGTGCGACTGTTTGGAGCCGTGCGTTCCTGGGGGGAGACTCCACCTGCTCCGAGATCTGCTCCATGGGGGAGGGGAAAAGGTTGCGACGGCCCGCCCCGATCGGCAGAACGATTATTCAGAAAACGATGCGTTGATTTGTTTTGTGTGTTGTTTTTTAGACATAAAGAACAACACATTCGACACCACAGAAAAACAAAAACGCCTGGAGAGCCATATAGACCCCGTCTTTCTGCGCGATCTGCTCTGCTGCCGAGCCGGATCGATATGTGAGGGTCCCGGGTAAGACGAAGCCAGGACGAAGCTCAATTCGGGTGAGGACAAATCGAGAATTTCTGAAATCTGGCGGCTCTGGAGGATGTCTCTCGGGCGCCGCGGCCTTCTCAGAGCGCTCCGGAACGCCGTTCGGGAACGCCCTGGAACGACTTGATGCTCGTCCTCGAGCCCCGTCCGATGGACCCCGGGAGCCTCCCCGGGACAAACTTGTTTGATCACGAGGCAGCCCCAAAATCTCCCAGATGGCACCCAGGCGGCCCAAGAGAACCCAATACGATCCAGGAGAGTCCCAAGAGGGACCCACGGGAGCCCCGTCCGACCAGGGCCCGAAATCCGGCAAACAAAAAAAGCCCGATTTAAAAATAGACAGGCGCGTTCCACTCCTCGCAAAGTAACTACTGGCAAATGGACTGGATCTGGAATCTGCCATTGGGGCTTTGCGACACATTACCTCGAGGCAAGTATCTGTGCATTTTGGACGTTTGCGAGCAGGCACTTTGCGAGCATCGATGATCCTCAGAACGTGTGCTAACCCCAACGTGTGTTTGTCCATCGAGGCCCTTCGATACGACGCAGGCGATGTAATGATCTACTGGTTGGGTTGAAGGAAGCAACACGCACATTTGAACTGGGACCGGCCATCCCGTCATTCCTATAGGCCTACCACGAAATTTTCTTCGAACGCACATATGTTCGAAGAAGACAAACAATGTCCTCAGAGCAGGATCCCGATGTGCTGAAACAAGACAGTCCCAGCCAGAACTGTTCTGAGAACATCTCGTGGAACCACAAGAGGTTCCTAGAACATCCTCGAGTAGGCCTGTAGGCGAGCCAGGACGCTTCGCCACTGCTCGACACACTGGGCTAGCACTCAGTCGGGCCTGTCCCTCCACAGGGGGGATATTCAAAAAAAGTATGGGGACGACTTGTTTTAGTTGTTTTTAAGCATTTTTGATTCGGGGATAGACAGGCACACCTTTAGTAAAACGTGGTTTAGTGAACACGACCTGAGGCCCAAACCTGGCGGGCGCAAGCCTGGAAAACAGCGGCCACGGCGCCCTCTCGAGAGCCGAAAACGGACAGTTCACTCATCGACGTGTCACTGTTGGGGGTCCTGTCCACCCCCACTTGATGAGCGAGAACAATGGGGCGCGCGCGGTGACAAAAGCTGCCCCGCCGGGAGCCGAGGCCTCCCCCGCGAGCGGCCGCGGCCCCCGGCCGGGCTGCCGGCCCTGGGGCCGCGGAGCCCCGCCGGGGGGCCCTGAAGGTCGGCGCCGCGGCGCCCCCCGGCCGCGCGCCTCCGCTCCTCCGTGCGGCGCCGCTCCCAAGCCTGAAGGGGCCCCAGGACACACAAATAAATACACACAAGTAAAAGTATTCCCCATATTGCCACATATTTCCCGGGTTTTTGTCTTCCCCCCCCCCACTTCCCATCTTCTCCCATATGTTCGGGGGAATCGACGATGAATTGTGTCTGTGTGTTTTTGTTTCCCCTCCTGAAAGCTGCCCCCCCCCCAGCTCCCAGCCCCACGGCCCTCCAGAGAAGCTCGTGGCCCTCGTGCCCGTGCCCCACCTCCTCCTGCTCCTGCTCTTCGCGCTCCCGGGCGCTGCCGACGGTGGGCCTCGCGCGAGGTCTCCCGAAGCGAGAGGGCCCCGAATCTCGAGCGGTCTTGGGCGCTCCTTGTCTTTTTCTTCCTCCTTCCTTCGTCTCCTCCTTTTCCTCCTCGAATTCCTCCTCCTCCCTCCTCCCTCTCCTCATCTCCCATAAGTCCTCCTCAATATACATCCCCTCCTCCTCCTCCTCCTCCTCCTCCTCCGTCATGTTCCATCCTCCGTCACCACCGCCTGCTCCTACTCTCATCCTCCTTCTCCTCCTTCTCCTCATCCTCCTCCTCTCCTTTCTCCCTGCTCCTTCACCCCTGGATTTTCCTCTCTCGTTGCAGGATCACCCGCCTGAGCAATCCTTCCAGGCATCCTCCTCCACGGAGGGCGACGCGGAGGAAGACGAAAAGGGCTATCGGCAGAGCACACGGATGCACGGGGCCCGACGAAGAAGTGCATGCTGACTACAGTGTTCGACAGTGCGTAAGATGGGAGGTGAAGGCACCTCGGAACGAGAAGGGGACATGATGAAGGTGCGGGCCACGAGGATGAGAAGAGGAGGAGAAGAAGAGGAGGGATGGAGGGAGCAGGAGGGATGGAGGGAGGAGGAGCAACAGAGGAGGAGAGGGGCAGGAAGACGAGGCGGATCAGGAGCAAGGGAGAATGGGAAGGAACAGGCGGACCAGGACGATGAGGGGCGGAATGAGAGGAGGCGAAGCAGGAACACGGGGTGGACGGCTCTCTTTGTCTGGGAGGGGCGGAGGCGATGCGCTCGAGGACAAAAGGCTGGTGCACGGCGCCGCGATGTGCCCAACCCTGGCGCGCCAGGCCCCCGTCCGCCTGAAGTCGGCTGGGCGCTGGGAGGGGCCCGAAGCACACACCAGGTCGGCCGCTCGTCCAAGGAGCTCGGCACATCGACGCTCCAGCTCCCCGACCTGTGGGACGCTGGAGCGCCTGCACACCGCACTCGTCCGTCGAGATTCTGTGAAGGGGCCCCAGGACAAACAAATAGATACACACAAATCAAAAGAGTCCCCATATTTCAAATATTTCTGGGGATTTTTTTGTCTTCCCCCCCACTTCGCATAGTTTCGCATATTTTCTGGGGAATCGACGATTAATTGCGTCTGTGTGTTTTTGTTCCCCTCCTGATTCTGGGCGGCCAGGGGACGACTGTGCACACGACGAGCCCCTTCGAAGGCGCGCCAAGGTGCGAGGACGATGCCGCGGCGCCCAGCCGCCGCCGGCGGGAGCGGTGCGCCTGGCGGCGGGGGACCACGCTCGACAAAAGTCACCCCCTGGTCCCCTCCAGGGCACACTCCCGGTCAGTATCTCGAGCTGCTGAAGGGACCCCAAGACACACAAATAAATACACACAAATAAAACTGTTCCCCATGTTTTCCCATATTTTCTGGGTGTTTGTCTCCCCCCCCCACTTCCCATATTTTCCCATATGTTCGGGGGAATCGAGGATTAATTGTGTCTGTGTGTTTTTTCGTCTCCTGAACCACGCTCGATAAAAATCACCCCCTGGTCCCCTCCAGGACACAGTTTTGAGCAGTATCTCGAGCTGCGTTCAGCCGTGGCCACAGGGGGGAGCCGAAACCAAACAAACATACAAACAGACACAGATGAGCCAACAACGGCATGAACATACGTTTCGGAACTCCGTGCAGATTGCAGGGATCGGCGCTGGGACCCCCCCTCCCCCGCGCGCGGTGGACCTCCCTCCCTGGCGCGAAGAGCGCGCCAGCGGCGCCGCTGGAGGCGCCGACAGTGGGGCCCAGGTCCCATCCAAGAATCCACTCGGAGCTCCGACAGACTATTATGTTTACAGCCGGATTTGGCTGGAGAGGTCACGCGAGAGAGCAGCGGCGAAGGCCGCGGCGCGGCGCGCGGAGGCGGCGCGGCGCGCGGCGGCGAGGCTGCCTGCGAAGGCTGCGGCCAAGGCTGGCGGCGAGCGGCGGCTCCCCCGCTCGCCGGTCCTTCTCTCCCCCCCTTCTGGTGCAAATTCGGCTGTGAGCTTCCACTCCTCCGCGGTTCCAGCCGCCACGCGCTGGCCTTCCAGACCCGTCTGCGGACGACGTCCAGCGCAAGCGGCGAAGGCTGCGGCGAGGCGGCCAGCGGCGAGGGCCGCGGCGCGCGGCAGCGCCGCGGCTGGCAGAGAAGGCCGCGGCGCGCGGCGGCGGCGGGGCCAATGGCGAAGGCTGTGGTGCAGCGCGCGGCAGCGGCGAGGCCGCGCTTGCGGCGAGGCCACGCTTGTGGACGGCCCCCGGGCCAAACGGCGGCGGGGCGAGTCCACCGCGCGGCGCACTCGCTCCTGGGCGTCCTCGTCCACCTCCAGCTCGTCGTCCTGCCAGGCCTTCAGCTTTTTCTCCGGCGGTTCCTCGGGGGCCTGTGCGGGCGGGATCTCGCGCCTCCCTCCTCCGTTTCCTCCTCCTCCTCCTCCTCCTCCTCCTCCTCCTCCGCCGCCGCCGCCGCCGCCGCCTCCGCCGCCGCCGGGCAAAAAAAAAACAGCAGCCGCCTCCCCCGCCTCCTCCTCTCCTCCTCCTCCTCCTCCTCCTCACTCCTCCTCCACCCTCCTCGTCCTCCTCTCCACCTCGTCGCACCTCGTCCTCACTCGTCTCCCCTCCTCGACCCACCACGTCCTCCTTCTCTGTCCTCCTCGGTCCTCCTCCTCGTTCTCTCTCGTTCTCCTCGTTCTCCTCCCCTCCACCTCCTTCCTCGTTCCCTCCTCCTCCTCCTCGTCGTCCTCCTCGTCTCCTCCTCCTCCTCCTCGTCCTCCTCCTCCTACCTCGTCGTCGTCGTCCTCCTCCCCCTCCTCCTCCTCCTCCTCCTCCTCCCCTCCTCCTCCTCGCTCCTCCTCCTTCCACCTCCTTCCTACCCGCCTCCTCCTCCTCCTCCTCCTCCTCCTCCTCCTCCTCCTCCTCCTCCTCCTCCTCCTCCTCCTCCTCCTCCTCCTCCTCTTCCTGCCACTCATCCTCCTCCCCCCCCCGAACCTCCTCCTGCTCCTACTCCTCCCCCTGCTCCTCCTGCCCCTCCTGCCCGTTCTGGTTCTGGTTCTGGTTGAGGCGCACCCAAGTGGGGCGCGTTGGCGCCGAAACCCCGGGCAAAGGGCAGGCATGCGCAGTCCCGAATAGGGTGTTGGCAGTGGGGCAAGTGCCCGGCGCGCGTGCCCGCTCCCAGGGGGGCCGGGCGTCGCTTCATGCGAGACAGTTGCACGGGGCCCCCTGGGAGCCGCGCCTGCCACGCCGCCACATGGCGGAGCGCCAGTGCGCGAGCGCAAGTGCGCGCGTTGCCAATTGGCCGCATCGAAACAGGGATCCTCGTCGTCCCCCCCCCACCCCGCCACAGCTCCGCCACCGCCAGCCTGGCGAGGGAACAGGGGAGAGGGAGGAGGGCGGCGGGAGGAGACGCCCCGGGGAGGGGGCAGCCGGGAGGGCGACAGGACGGCGGCGACGACAGGAGACGACGAGGGCGACGCCGACGAGAAGCAACGGCGACGACGACGACGACGGCGAGGGCGACGGAGACGAAAGGCGACGGCGACGGCGACGAAGACGACAACGACGGCGACAGGGGCGGCGAAACAGCGACGACGACGACAGCCAAGGGACTCGCAGCGCCTATTTGCCAGAAGGGCCCGCGCGGGTGGGAAAAGGGAACGAATTCGCGGCGCGCGCGCACAGCTAGCCCCGGGGCCGGCGGCCGCGCTCTGCGCTCCTGGAGCGGCAGGAGGAGCTCAGGCAGGGGCGGCGGCGGCAGCGGCGGGAGGCAGCGGCCGGGGGCGCCCCAGCAGCCGCAGGGCGACGACAACGACAACGACGACGACGACGACGACGACGACGACGACGACGACGACGACGACGACGACGACGACGACGACGACGACGACGACGGCGGCGGCGGTGGCGGCGGCGGCGGCGGCGGCGGCGGCGGCGGCGCGGCGCGGCGGACGGCGGCGGCGGAGGCGGCTGCTCCTCCTGCTCCACCTTCTCCTCCTGCACCTGCTCCTGCTCACTGCTCCTCCACCTCCTCCTCCTCCTCCTCCTCCTCCTCCTGCTCTGGTTGCTCTTACTGCTCCTTCTGCTGCCTTCTGCCTCTTCCTGCTCCACATACTCGTCCACATCCTCCCTCCTCCTCCTCCGTCCCTCCTCCTCCTCCACCTCTCTCACTCCTCCTCCTCCTCCTCCTCCTCTCCCCTCCTCCACCTCCTCCTCCTCCATCCCTCCTCCACCCCTCCTCCCTTCACCACCTCCACCTCCTCCTCCTCCCCTCCTCCCTCCTCCTCCCCTCCTCCCCCCTCGCCTTCTCCCCCTTCCACCTCCCCCCTATCCCCCTCCTCGTCCTCCCCTCCGCCTCCTCCTCCTCCTAACCTCCTTCTCCTCTCCTCCTCCTCCTCCCCTCCTCCTCCTCCTCCTCCTCCTCCTCCTATCCTCCTGTTCCTCTTCCTCTTCCTCTTCCTCCACCTCCTCCTCCTCCTCCACCGTTTTCATCCATCATCCCTCCTCCCTCCTCCTCCGCCGCCTCCTTCCTCTTCCTCTGAATCCCCAACGCGTGGGAGAAGGGGAGCAGCCTGAGCGCTGCCGGGTGTCTTCTTGCTCGCCGCCTGGTCCGCTGCGGCGGCCTGGATGAAGGCGGGGAGGCGGGCGCGTGGCAGGAACGAGCGAGTGCCGCATGCACGGGGAGGAAGCTGGTCACGGGAAACGCTCACCTACCCCCAATGAGCGTCGATCAAAAACGCATCTTACGCGAGATGACATAGCGACGTTACGCACCGGCTTACGCGGCCGCCAGCGCGGCACGCCACAGTGAAGACGAGGGCCTTTACGCGCGACCTTACGCGGGCAGCTTACGCGCCCATGTCGGTGACAGCGACCCAGTTGGTTGACGTCACTCACCTGGCCTCCCTCCCCCTCTGCGGCTGGGCCAGAGGGTCCCTCCAGCCCTTTGGGGCTTGGGTGATTCAGGGCGATTTCCCTTCCCCTCCCCCCCTTCGGGGAAGGGTTTATGAGTGCTCCCGATTGCTCCCTATTAGAAAACACCCCTCGCCGAGGAGACCAACAGCCAACCAAAACCAATGACAACACCCCCTGACCACCCCTACGCACACGCGCGGGGGGGCCGCGACGAAGGCGAGGTCACCCATCGTCCTCTTCCCCCCCTCCGGAGGCCCATCCGCCCATTTCCCTCCTCCTCAGCCTGCTCCTCCTCCTCCTCTTCCTCCTCCTCTCACTCTTCCCTCCTCTACACTCCTCCTCCCTCCCTCCCTAATCATCCTCCTCCTTCCTCCCTCCTCCCCTCCTCCTTCCCCTCCTCCTCCTCCCCCTCCCCCTCCCCTCCCCTCCCCCATCCCTCCCCCCTCCCATCCCCTCCCCCTCCTGCCTCCTCCCTCCCTCCTCCCTCCTCCTCCTCCTCACTCCTCCTGATGCTTCCTACTGCGGTGATCCTGATTCCTACTGCTTGACTACTGCTCCTGCTCCTGCTCCTTGCTCCTGCTCCCTGTCCTGCTCCTGCTCCTCCTTTCCTATACTACACTCTCTCCTCCTCCTCTTCCTCCTCCTCCTCCCTCCTCCTTGCCTTTTCCTCCTCCTCACCTCTCCTCTTTCCTACTCTGTCCCCCCCATCCTTCCCCTCCCCTGCTCATCCCCCCCATCCTCCCCTGATGCACCGTATGCTCTTCCACATCACTGGCCAAGGCAACTCGCCTGGGCATCATTTCTGGAAAAGTCTACAATCAGTTCCCAGGTTGGATGTGTCCGGAGGGTCTGAGCTGGCGGTGCCCGAAGAAAATCGGCCAGAAGCGCGGGGATGATGGCAAAACCGCTCAGAGTCGGCCCCTGGACCCCTCCTGGGGTGTTTTTCACCCCCGATCAATGTTTCACTGCCCCGGGGCCCGAACGCGGCTCCCAGACACAACAAACAATATCACACCTTCTCGAATCCAAACCGCGAACCTCTCACCCCTTGGTGGCCAGAACCAATGCTGGGCCACCTCGAACCGCAGCTGGCTCCAACTCCCAGGAGGCCTTCCCACGTAACCGTGATAACTTGACCATACATTCCCCGTGTGATAGTGTTAATAACGCAATCAAGATAACGAGCTCCCAGGGGGCGCACCGACGAATTATCCCCCAGTGATGTCGTAGCACACAACATAATTACACGTCGGTCGGAAGAGGTAGGTAGAAACACGAAGTAGGAAGGCAGATGAAGTAGATTGGGGTTCGGCAGCATACCGATTATTTAAGTAGAAAGGTTCTTGAAGTAACACACAACATAATCAAGCAATTCCCGAGATGGGGGGAGGTAGGGGGAAGGAGGGTGGGTGGAACAGGTAGGTGCGCTAGCATCACATCTGACGTCCTACCCCTCCCTCCCATCCCTTCCCATGGCGTGGATCTCCTATCTGTTCACACAGCGGGGTGTCGAGCGGGCCAATGACCCCAAGAGGGTACGCGATGGATTGAAACGCATGGCGTAGAAGAGAACGGTAGAGTACAGCATGTCATAGCATGACCTGGCATTGCGTAGTGAAGCATTGCACCACCCAGCATAGCAACGCAAAGCATGATATCGCACAGCCGTGCACAACACAGCATCGCATTGCATGCCGTGGCATGGCACCGAATTACTTGGAGGGCAACTGGACCGTCTACGAGAAGAAAAGGCCTGTCCGAAATGCCAGCTGCATGTCCTCCGCAACCGTGCCTGCCCGATTTGGGCGCTTTCGAATGCAAAGTACCGCCCAGGGGCGCGGGAACGAGAACAACAGCTGCAGCGTGAACATCAATTTAGAAGGACAAGAAACGACCGGATAAAAAAAACACACACACAAAAATGGGCAACACAAGAACAGCTAATGAGCACCTGCGTAAAATTAGCCTGGCGAAGAACCCAACCATATGCAGTTGTCAGTACCGCAGCTGCGGGTTTCATCTTCAGTGGAACTCCCATAGGACTACGGAACGTGTGAGGGGTGTGTCGAGATGGGTGCCACTGGGGCATTCGGCGAAGCTCCCTATGGGGACATGAAACACGCGCGGGGCGTGCCGACATGGGTGGCGGAAACGCATGTGCGGGCCGCCTCTGGGGCCTCCAGTGGAGCTCCCTATGGGTCCCCGAAACATGATGCTGCTGCGGGGGGGGGTGCCGGGATGGGCGGCGGAGACGCATGTAAGCGCCGCTACTGGGGCCTTCGGTGGAGCTCCCTATGGAGCAACGAAGCGCGTGAGGGGTGTACTGGGATGCGTGGCGGGGACGCATGTGAGCGCCGCCACTGGGGCCTTCGGTGCAGCTCCCTACGGGGCCACGAAACGTGTGAGGGGTGTGCCGAATTGGGTGCGGGTGGTGACGCATGCGGGCGGCAGCACTGGGGCCTTCGGTGGAGCTCCCCATGGGGCCACGAAACCTCTTGTTGTGAGGGGCGTGCCGGATTGGGTGGCGGGGACGCATGTGAGCGCGGCCGCTGGGGCCTTCGGTGGAGCTCCCTATGGGGCCACGAAACGTGTGAGGGGTGTGCCGAATTGAGTGGGTGTGGGTGCCGCATGTGAGCGCCGCCACTGCCACTGGGGCCTCCGGTGGATGATGGGGCCACGAAACCTGTGAGGGATGTGCCGAAATGGGTGCGCGGGACGCATGCGCATGTGAGCGCCGCCACTGGGGCCTTCGGTGGAGCTCCCTAATTGGGTGTGCGGGACGCATGCGGGCGGCAGCACTGGGGCCTTCGGTGGGGCTCCCTATGGGGCCACGAAACGTGTGAGGGGTGTGCCGAATTGGGTGTGCGGGGCGCATGCGGGCGGCAGCCATGGGGCCTTCGGTGGGGCTCCCTATGGGGCCACGAAACGTGTGAGGGGTGTGCCGAATTGGGTGTGCGGGACTCGCATGCGGCGGCAGCACTGGGGCCTTCGGTGGGGCTCCCTATGGGGCCACGATGCGTCGTGAGCGGGGATTTGCGAATTGGGTGGCGGACGGCATGCGGGCGGCAGCACTGGGCCTTCGGTGCGGGCTTCCCTATGGGGGCCACGAAAACGTGTGAGGGGTGTGCCGAATTGGGTGTGCGGGACGCATGCGGGCGGCAGCACTGGGCCTTCGGTGGGGTCTCCCGATGGGGCCACGAAACGTGTGAGGGGTGTGCCGAAATGTGGGATGATGACGATGATGACGAAGACGATTGACGATGACGATGACGATGACGATGACGATGACGATGACGATGTTTGATGATGATTTTGATGATGAGGAGTGAGGAGGAGGAGGACGGAGGAGGAGGAGGAGGAGGAGGAGGAGAGGAGGAGGGAGGAGGCGGAGGAGGAGCAGGAGCGTGAGCGGGCGCTCTCTTCAAAACGAGGACCCAACACCACAGGATGGTTGGGAAAAATCAATGCGCGGAGAGGACGGGAGGCTCTCCGGGCAGTGTCAGGGGAGAGAGGAGAGTAGTAATCATTCGTACTGCGCAGTTGTGCAGGGGGTGGGGTGGACGACAACGACCACGAGGAGCAGGAGGAGGGCCGGGAGGAGGACGAGGAGGCGGCGGAGCAGGAGGGACGAGGAGGGGCAGGGGGACGAGGAGGGGCGGAGCTTGCCGCCCGCCGAGAGAAGCAAGGGGGGGGGGCCTCAACTCACGAGGGGCGTCGGAGGAGCGGCGGGCGAGCCCTCCCGAGGAGCCCCGGGCCTCTCTGCCAGGACGCGGGCCCCCTCGCCCTCGCCGCCTCCTGCCCCGCGCGCGGCCGAGGCAGGGCCGCACGTCGCCCAGCGCACGCATATATATATATATATATATATATATATATATAAAGTGAATGTATGTGTATATATATATATATATATTCTCATACGCACCTCTCCGAGGGAGTAGAGCTCAGAGGCGATTAATGCGCACGCGTCCGCGATTTGTCTAGGCGTTTCGCTCGGGACATCCTCAAAATTCTGAAAATCGGTGGCACCCCTCACGCAGATCGTGACGTCAGGGTCCAAAAACACATGGAAATTCCAACATTTTAACATACAACCTTCAAAAACACATGGTAATTTCAATAATTGTGACCCCGATTCTCAGGGAATGGCGGTTTCGCTTGAAAAATCCTTCCAAAATCGAGCCCCAGACCCCGCCTCGGAGCCTCCTGGGGGCCTCCTGGAACCTCCTGGGCCTCCTGGGGCTTTCTGAACCTTCTGGCACCCCAGACCCCGCCTCGGAGCCTCCTGGGGGTCTCCTGAAACCTCCTGGGGCCTCCTGGGGCCTCCTGCGGCCTCCTGGAGCCTCCTGGGGCCTCCTGAAGCCTCCTGGGGTCTCCTGGGGCCTCCTGAGGCCGCCTGGGGCTTCCTGGGGCCTCCTGGGGCTTCAGAACTACATGCACACAAAGACACAAATCACGCCCAACACATCACACGCTAGACAAACATAACACACACACACACACACACACACACACACACACACACAACACCTACAACACACAAAAAGCACGCACCACACGAAGCATACATCACAAACACACACACCCACACACACACACACACAAACACACACACACACACACACACACACACGCACAACACTCTCAGTCCTGGGGCCTCCTGGAGCCTCTTCTGGTATCCAAGTCGGGCCACCTAAGGCTTCCTGGGGGCCCTGGTACACACATCGCAAGGTGTGGCAACCCCACTTGCGCTCGAGTGCGACTTCGATGTTGCATTTCACTCCTGCTTCAAACGCCCCTTCAGTTTTTTGTATGAGCCTGGGCACACACGTGCCACTTGTATATGTATAGTATAGCTTGGGCGTGGCTTAATGGGGGGGTCACAAATGGGGGGGTCAGAAACGGTCCCCTTTCGTGCCCCTTTCGGGCCCCTCCAGAGCCCCGGGGGGCTCGTTTAGGTACCATTTGGGTACCTTTTCGGACCACCCTCGCCACCCCCCCATTTATGACCCCCCCATTACGCGACGCCCAAATAACCCCGTCCGATGGACCCCGGGAGCCTCCCCTGCTTGGTCCACGCCCAGATTCTGGGCGTGGACCAAGCAGGCGTCGAGATGGCGCATGTGGGCACCACACGGGCTTCCTACCAGGCGGGGGCTCATCCAGATCCACCGCCCAGCGGCCAGTGGACATGGACATTTTTTTTTAGTCGCCATGCTTATCTTGATGGCATCGGGAAGCTGCCGAGCAGCGTCTCCCGTAAAGGCACTCAGCGACGGTGCAGAGCCAAAGTCTGCCCGAGTTCTGCACAGAGGGGCTATCGCTGACCGCGCCGAAGGAAGGAGGTGCCTTCAACGAGGAGCGCCCGCGCACACGCGTGCACGCACGATCTGCCCGCTGCGGCATGTGAGCCTCTGGCTCGGATGACTGGGAGGCGGGTTGTCCTGGTCGCAATCCGATGCGATGCTCACGCTGGAGATTTGCGACTCTCTATCGGGGGAGAGATGCGGCCTGCCGAATTGAACGCTTCCCCGTGCGGGAGCCGTTCTGCAATCGCATGCGGGAGCCGCTGCCTGGATCAGATGCGGGGGCCGCTCCGCAACATCACTGAGGGGCCTCGTCTTCGCCTCGCTTACCATGGCTCGCTTGATAATTCAAAATCGTCCAATCAAACACGAAATCGTACTGATAGCCCTCGCGGAAGAACAGGTCTTTGAGAAGGCGGCGCAGGTAGGCGTAGTCGGGGCGGTCCTCGAAGCGCAGGCTGCGGCAGTAGTTGAGGTACGTCACGAACTCGGCGGGAAAGTGTTTGCACAAGACCTCGATCGGTGTAGACATCTTCTTATCCATGATCTTCTCGTACTTCTCCTTCTTGGAGATGGCCTAAGGCCCTGCCATGGCAGGCTGCCGCGGTTGAAGTACATCAGTACGTACCCCACCGCCTCCAGGTCGTCACGCCTGCTCTGCTCGATGCCGAGGTGCGTGTTCACGCTCGCGTACCTGGCAGTGCCTGTCAAGTTCTTGCCCTCGCGGTACGGGATATGCTGCTGGGTCTTGGTGTCCCTGTACTTTTTGGTTGTAGTCGCCCTCCTTGCCGCACCAATGCACGTTCGGGACGCCGACGCCGCCCGCGAGGTTCTTATACAACTTCGACTCGAAGAGCAACTGCGGGTGCATAGTAGACTTGATCGACTCAAGCTTGATGGCAACCTCCTCACCGGTCGTCACATTGGTGCCGATGTAGATATCTCCGAATGACCCCGAGCCGATCTTGCGGCCCAGACAGAACTTGCCTCCGACGCGCAGCTCCATGTTTGTTGGCCCAACGGGCCGCGGTCCACTGAGGTGGACTGCCTCCTGGATTGGATGGGAAAGGGGGCGCGGCGGTTTGCCACGCGAGGCGCTCGCCCAACAAGCCCCAGCTTGCGACAAAGGGGCTTGAGCCAAAATGGCTTGAGCCAAAATGGCCAGTGGACGGTTCAAATGGCCAAAATACTGGGCAACCGTGGCCAAAATGGCTTGAGCCAAAAAACTTACCTGGCCAGTGGACATGGACATGGTTTGGCCCCCGGGGCCAATGTACACCCATATCCACCGCCTCCTCCTGAGGTCCAGGAGTATCGGGTTCCCAGGCCTTGAATATGCATCACCCCCCCGTCTCGCACTTCAAAATCGCTTCAGGATGCTTCCAAAGACCAAGAAGACCCTACTCGGGCTCGCCGGGACAAGACGGCCGCCTTTTGTCACCTTTCGGATGATTGCCGCATGGAAAATTGAAATGATTTGCCGCCTTGCCGTGCTGGTCGCGCATGTCCAATATCCTCGCAATTTACGAAGCGGACTGCGGGCTGAAGAAATAATTGCGACCAATGTCGCGAACAATCTAGATAATGACGCTGAACTATGCCGCGTGCAGACAAAACAGAACACTCTGGACGATATCAATGCCAACATCGCTGGATTAACCATAAACGTCGGCTACCCCCCTCAACAAACATGCACCTTAAACTCGCGCTCTACGCGAGACATCGCGAGCACGTACCGCAGGCATGACTGCGTACTGTTTGCGTACGCTCGACAAGCCCAGTGATGACGCGCCAAATTCGCGCCGGGAGAACAAGAAGAGCTGAGCAGGGACCGACCGTCCCGGCATTCCTAGAGGCCTACCACGACATGTTCCTACAGTGGTTTAAGAACAAATCAATGCTCTTAGAACATGCGCCCGATGTGTAAAAATAAAACAGTCCCAGCCAGGCATGTTCCAAGAACATTTCGTGCATACCACAAAAGGTTATTAGAACATTGTTTGGTAGGCCGATAGGCGAGCCAGGACGCTTCGCCACTGCTTGATAACAAAAGTAGAAGACACCACGAGGTGTCGGGGATCTTCTGACCCGGGTCAATCCAAACCCGGGTCAGCAAGAAATCAAAAACTACGATGCTGGAAAAAAAAGCTGCAACGCAGGTCTTCGCACAGAGTGTACGCCGGGCGATGGCTTGGTAGGGGAGGGGCGGCGGAAGGGTACCAAGCCAGCGGGGTACCAAGCCGGCGGCATCGTGGGAGGGCGGGAGGAGGAAGGGGGAAGGGCTCCCGGATACCAAGCCGGCAAGGTACCAAGCCAGCGCTGGCTTGGTAGGGGGTGGGCTGCGGGGGGTATCAATCCGGCGGGGTACCAAGCCGGCGGCATCGCGGGAGCGCGGGAGGGAGGGGAGGGGCTCCCGGATACCAAGCCCGCGGGGTACCAAGCCGGCGCTGGCTTGGTAGCGGGGGCGGCGGGGGGAGATACCAAGCCGGCGGGGTACCAAGCCGGCCGCAGTCGTGGGAGAGCGGAGAATATGATTCGTGGGGCTCCAGGATACCAAGCCGGCGGGGTACCAAACCGGCGCTGGCTTGGTAGCGGGCGAGCTGCGGGGGGTACCAAGCCGGCGGGGTACCAGGCCGGCGGCATAGCGGGAGCGCGGGAGGGGGGGAATGGCTCCCGGATACCAAGCCTGCGGGGTACCAAGCCGGCGCTGGCTTGGTAGGGGGCAGGCGGCGGGGGGAGGTACCAAGCCGGCGGGGTACCAAGCCCGCGGCATCGTGGGAGGGCGGAGGTGGGGGGGAGGGGTTCCGTATACAAGCAGCGGCAACCAAGCCGCGCTGCAGGTAGGTGGAACCCCTTTGGGGGTACCAAGCCGGCGGGTAACCAAGCCGGCGGCGCAGCATGGTAGGGAGAGCACCTGGAGGGGGGAAACCAACTGGCGCCGCTGGCTTGGTAGGGAGGAGCCCCTTGGGGGGTACCCAACCGGCGGGGTAACAAGCGTCGGCCGCTGCTTGTAGGACAAGAGCCCCCGGGCAAGGTACCGAATCCGCGGGGGACCAGCAGCGCCGCTGGCTTGGTAAAAAAAAAAAAAATAAGGGGGGGGAGCGCTTTTTTTTTTTGGGGGGTGCCAGACCGGCGGGGTACCAAGCCGGCGGCCGCAGTGCATGGTAAGGGGGGGGGGCCCTGGAGGGGGACCAAGCCGGCGGGGTACCAAGCCGGCGGCCGCTGGCTTGGTAGGGGGGAGCACCTGGGGGGTACCAAACCGGCGGCCGCTGGCTTGGTAAGAGGAGACCCTGGTAAGCCGGCGGGGTACCAAGCCGGCGGCCGCTGGCGTGGTAGGGGGGGTCCCTGGGGCGGGTACGAAGCACGCGGGGGTACCAAGCCGGCGGCGGCCGCAAGGCTTGGAAGTTTGGGGGCCCTGGAGGGGTACCAACAGGCGGGTACCAAGCCGGCGCCGCTGGCATGGTAGAGGGGGGAAACCCGGGGGGGATACCATGCCGTGCATGCCAGGCGCCGCTGTCTTGATAGGGGGGAGCCCCGTGCGGGGTAAACCAACTGGCGGGGACAAGCCGGCGGGCCGCTGGCTTGGAGGGGAGAGCCCCTGGGCGGGGGGGTACCAAGCCTCGCGGGGTTACAAGGCCGGCGGCCGCTGGCTGGGTAGAGTGGGCCCCTGGGGGGGTACCAAGCCGGCGAGGTACCAAGCCGGCGGCCGCTGGCTTGGTAGGGGGGAGCGCTTGGGGGGGTACGCAGCCGGCGGGGTACCAGGCCGGCGGCCGCTGGCTTGGTAGGGGTGAGCTTGGTAGGGGGGGGCCCCTGGGGGGGGGACCAAGCCGGCGGCCGCTGGCTTGGTAGGGGGGAGCCCCCTGCGGGGGTACCAAGCCGGCGGGGTACCAAGCCGGCGGCCGCTGGCTTGGTAGGGGGGGGCCCCTGGGGGGGAGGGGGGTACCAAGCCGGCGGGGTACCAAGCCGGCGGCCGCGGGATTGGCAGGGGGGATCCCCTGTGGGGGTATACCAAGCCTGCGAGGGTACCAAGCTGGCGGCCGCTGGCTTGGTAGTGGGGGCCCCGGGGGGGGGGGGTATCAAGCCGGCGGGGTGCCACACAGGCATGCCCTGACGGGCGGGTCGGGTCGGGCGATACGTGAAAGTATGATGAATCATCGAGCTGGCGCGTGCGTACCCTCACGCGCGGGTCGGGTCGATCGGGTGGGACAATAAAATATGATCGTAATCGAATTGACACGTGCGCACCCTGACGGGCGGGTCGGGTCGGGCGGGCAGGACATTAAATTATGATGCCCCATCGAAATGGCACGCGCGTGCCCTAACGGGCGGGTCGGGTCGGGCGGGTGGGACAGTAAAGTATGATGCATCATCGAGTTGGCACGTGCGTACCCTGACGGGCGGGTCGGGTCGGGCGAGAGAGCCTAGCGGGCGGGCGAGTCGGGCGGCGGGCGGGGCCCTAACGGGCGGGCGGCGAGTCGGGCGGGCGGGCGCCCGCGCGCTCCCTGAAGCACCAGGGCTTAGAGCATCGGGGTGGTGGTTCTGATGGGGGGGGGGCATGCTCGCGCCGTCGGAACGCCGTCGCAGTTCCTGCGCAATCGAGTCTCCAGGGCCATGTGTAGGCCGATCCACTGTACTATCATTAAGACATGGCCGCTACTCTGAACACCCCCAGGGCCATAACTCCTGACATCACTCCAGGACCTCAGCCTTGGACTTCTCCGAACATCCCAGGGACTTGGGTTCCTGTCCTGGAGCCAGAGACAACGTTGTATCTGAGGGCGGCGACCCTGGGCTTCATCCCATGGCACGGCACCTGGGCATGGTGTCAGCCCTCAGCCTGTAGCTTGAAGCCTCCAGCTTGAGGCCCCGTGCACGAAGCCTTCAGTCCTGGGCCCCTTCGCCCCTTGCGCGAGGATTCCAACCTTAGGGCCGCAGCACCATGCCGCCAGCGGGAGACAATTGGCCCTGGCATGTGAAGCCTGGGCACTGGGCCCTCAGACATAGGCATTGGGCCAGAATCCCAAAGCCCTGACCCAAGAAGTCTCAACCCTGGGCCCAGTGCCCGATGCCCGATATGCGAAGCCTGAAGTCATCGCGCTCGAGAGCAAGGCCCCGCAACCATAGCCACTGAACCAAAATCCTGCAGCCTTTGGCAACAGGTCTTCCACTTGAGGCGATGAGCCCAGGCCCTTGGGCATCGGGCCTTCAGCCCGAAGGTGCTATTCCTTAGCCGCGCCGCCAAGCCGCTGGGCCGTGGGCGCGCAGCTCGGGGGGGCCTCGGCCCCGCGCCTCCGACTCCAAGCCTTCGGCCCTGAAACCGAAGAACCGAGCTTTCTGCCCTTTGGCGCTACCTCGGAAACAGGCCATGAGCCCAAAGCCTCACGCCCTCAACCTCAAGCCTGGAACCCTGACCTTTAACCGCGGGGTCTCCAGCCATAAGCTCCAAACCTGGAGCCTCTGGCCCTGGGCCTTAATTCCAGATGCTTACGGTTGGGTTGAGTAGGTCGCATGGTTCAGGCGAGTCGGATGGTTCGGACAGAACCTGTGGCTTCGGCTAATCTGTTGCCCTGAGCAGCAGATGAGGTTAAACTTTGACGTGCGCTTTGGTTCAGGAGCCAGAACGGCTTCGTCGTGCTAAGTTTCTGTTGGGTGTGCTGCGTATGTCAGGTATTGCAGAGAGGAAGTATTTGGCGTATCCATTACTACGTGTGTATATATATATATATACACTAGAACCTTTGTGCGGTCGCAGAGACGCATCAGCCAACGCCACGCATGCGTCGCAATCGCCACCGCATGGGCTTTGCAAACCAAGTCGCGGATGGGCGGGTGGGATATTTGCAAGAGCATGGGATGTGTCAACTCGTTTACCAAAAACAGCTACACTCCATAGATTTCACACCACCTATTGCACCAAACAGATGCACCACGCCAATGGCACAACATATATTGCGCACCAAACAGATTCTCATTCACTACCCCCCAGAACTTATCGGCAACCCTCTG